GCGCGCTTGGCTGCCTGTCTGTGCCGCCGCTGGTCCCAGCGAGTCCCCGCTTTCCTGCGTTGTTCCACTCTCTGCAGCTCTTCTTAATTATTTGCTGGGAGACAAAAATACTGGATTTGCAACACTTGGAAGCTGTTCAGGCTTAACAGGAGTGTGAAATCAGGTAGTTAAAGCGGGTAGTTAAAAACGCGAGCAGGATGCAGGGCGGATCTTTGCAGGACGGTTACCCGCGGCAGCAGGGGCGCACCCGCAGCCGTTCCCGCGCGGGAGCTCAGCGCTGCGTTGCTGTGCTGTGCAGAAGAGCGCCGCTCCGCAGCAGCCAGCCCAGATGCAGACCTTCCGCTGCGTGCCCTCCGGCCTGCTGAGGGAGCGGGTACGGTGCCGGTAGGCGGTCGGACGGAGGTTCCGGTTCGGGCGCTTCCTCTGGCTCCCGTCTCCAAGGGGTGCAGCTTGCAACAAGCAGACACGAATGCCGAAGGACTGCGCACACCCTTTGTGCCCGGCGGTGTTCGCGAGCCTTGTGCTCCCCCCTCCCGAGCCCCCGAGCCCCTTTCTCCTCCAGCTGGCACTGCGGGACCCGGCTGTCCTAACCTGCCTGTTTCTTTCCTCTCTGCTTCTGACTGACTCCTTTGCCTACTTCACAGGCCGATTCTTTGATGAGAATGAATCCCCTGTTGATCCGCAGCAGGGTTCTAAACTGGCAGATTATAATGGGGATGATGGTAACGTGGGTGAGTACGAGGCAGACAAACAGGCTGAGCTGGCTTACAATGAGGAAGAGGATGGTGATGGTGGAGAAGAAGACGTCCAAGGTGAGCTTGGGCATTGTCTCCATCCCATTGCAATACAATCCACGCTGAGTTCACTTGTTGAATTTGTGTAAAGCCTCGCTGGTTTTAGCTGATCAGAAATTTCTAATACAGAATAAACAAGCTGCAGGCAATCTGTAAAACCGGGCCGTGCTCTCCGATTGAGAGCGACGTCACGGCGGTTTCCAGCGGGCGGATGTTGATGCCCGATTTGGGTCGTGTATGCGGATCCCGTTGGGAACATCACGGCCCTTCAAATTTCAGAAATGGTTTTGCCCAACCCCCCGACCGGGTGTCCAGCTCGCTGGGATGTGCTCCCCGACATCGCTGAAGCAGCTCTCGCACCGAGGCGCAGGTCACCCCCGCCTTGGGGCGCTCTGCCGCGAGGTCTGGGCGAGCAGTTCCATTTCCGTGCATCACACAGATTCAACAGGCCGCAGGCTCCCCATGCTAACCACAGCTCCTTCACCC